GAGGAAGAGGAGTCAGTTCATACCTTTATGCAGGAAATAACTCAAAGTTTCGGCTGGTGGCCAGATGAGATAGCGGATTGTGAGACACAGAACAAAAGCGAAAGCAATAAAATTTGAGCCTTTTTATTCGATTATGCACCGATGTGGACAAGCGCGCCGTGGCTGCTCAAAACTCCTGCTGCCGGAGCAGAGAAGTGGTTGATGCGCTTTGATTATGCATTTGCCGAAATAGACCATTAAAATTGAAGTGGAAATAAAGTATAAATACAATAAATGCAAAAACACATTTTATGGCGAATAAAAAAGTATTGTTGGAAATTTAAGTAAAAAAGAACAAATAAAACAATTCTACAAAATCCCACAAAGCAGTAAGGAGAACTATATTTCTACATACATATGTATGTATTATGTGTGTGTGTATTTACGTAAATGCTTTCATACATACATGCAAATGTATATTGTTAAATCGGTGTGGAGTAATTAAATTTGTATTAAAGGATTTTGCAGAATTGGTTAAATCAATTGTTGTTGTACGCGCGTTAATATGAGAAGCGTTGCGCATGCGGCTAATAGCCGGACACATCATCTCTGTGGACATCACAGTTCAATAGTTGCCAAAAGGCTATTAAAATTGTACTGTAGATTAAAAAGTCATTATGAACAGTCTGTATTGACCAATGAAATTGGCGGTGTTTCGCTTTAATGAAAGCTTCATTGAAAATAAAGAAGTTTTTGCTTAACTTTGATTTTTAATGACCATTTAATAGTTTAAAATATTGAACTTTAGCAAGCGAATGAAAAAATTATAAATTAAATATGAAAATATTCAATTTCGTAGGTGCAGATTTTTAGTGTCACTACAAGAGAAGTCTAACTTCGAGTGGAACCAAAAACCATTACACCGGTATATAGAAAATGGCGGTGTCCCAGATTATTTCTTTGTAGAATCTCATTTCCCATTAGAGAAGAGATCTTAAACAAGTGAGGAATTTGAACCGTTTTCAAACGACGTTTCATTTAGTCAGGCAACTTCAGGTTCTTCTACTTTTCGATTAAACATATCCATAAATTGGAGTCCAAGTTAGCCAGGAGCTGGTGCCATTATGTTCAAATGACATAAAAGTCAATTTAAATTTAACTGTTCTGTAAGTAACCTTCCATAAGAAACTTCTCCGTATCTTAGAGAAATCATTATAGGGAATAAGAAAGCATTAAGTTTACAAAGCATGCAAGGAGTACAGTGGTCCTGTATGAGCTGAAAATACTAATTCATCCAAGAAACAGTAATACGAGTAGGTATTAGAATGCATTGTAATCTTCTCGCATATACAACCATACAGCATTTTCCTACAAAACAAGTTATTTTCATATTCAAATAACATTTTACTTAAAAGATTTATGGTTTCGTGGCTTGTTGTTTCTTGTTGAAAGCAAACGTTGTCCAGGCCCATATACCATACAATTCCAGCCGTAAAAAATCATTAATCATTTCTCGATATCGCAAGGCATTTAGTTTCTAAACTAAAGTGAGAATGGAGACAACTCTTTAGTTAACTACTTTTACATCAATATTTACTTATTCTAAGTTAAAAAACTTGAAATTAAGACGATGAACTGGAAAAGACGGAAGTTCTACTGGAATGGCATGTTTGTTGTAGCATATTTATATGCGTCATGAAATATTGTCTCACATAACTCATTGTATTTGTATATAATTATGATCTTATTCGAATATAAGATACGTTACATAATGTACATATGTACATAAGAGATGATGTATACGCGTATGTAGGTACGTCAAACTTTTTATGGCACACTTTCTTGCATGCCTTGCGCTCGGTCGTTAAAAAGTAATTTCGAAATGAAAATATTGTCGAGCTTCCGCTCATTTATCAATACCAAGATCCGGTATAGAAGGAATCTAGCGAAGAAAGTAGGTATACTCGTATGTGATGAATATGCTCCCATTCTCACCTCACAATCAGTCACATACATACATACTCGTATGACTACTATTTACATTCTCACCCAGCGTAGGTATTTAACAAGGCATTGTACAACAAACAACCACAACAGAGATGAATACTTCCGCAACTTAGCTACGCGAGGCTGTCTGCAGTCAATGTGGCATCATAAAACTTGTGAATGTTACCATTTTTAGTGGACACGCATTATTAAAATAAACAATTCCTCATCTACTTAGCAATATCAAAGGGATTCAACATAAATACCTTTGTATGTATGTGTAAGAAGCGTACCTACACGAATAAAGTTGCTTCAATATAAGTAATTTAAAATATAAAGAGCTTTATTTCCTATTCTTACTCTATCGCTGCTGCTTTTTGATGGAACAAAGATTTATGACCACTTATTACTTTATTGCTAAATACACAATGAATGATGTTGATGTTGGGAAATTTTTGATAGAGCGAAATTTTTGATAGAGTCCAAATATTCTTAAGCTTAAGGGTAGAATATTATAGAAAACTTTTGCTTCAGAATCTCGCTAGGTCTTATTTTTACTCAATTTATTTCAGTTCAATTGTTTTCTTACATTCGAGCAAACATATGTATGTATGTATATCATAACTCAATTAGTCAAGGTTTTGTATTTGGGACCAGTCTGTGATATCCGGTTAGGGTTGATAATTTGTTTAGTATGTGGTGGACTAGATTGATTAACGCTTTAAATATTCCATATCAAATCAAAACGAAGTGTAGATGTAACGCCCTTTACTAAGAATCTAGACCCCGCTTTGGCTCTATAAACCTTGATTTCATAACTCTAGAATAAATTTTGCTTACCAAAGTTAGTTTGGGAGATGCGCCGAAAACTGCCAATAAAACTGGCATCAATGGCGCAATACTAAAATATGTTTCCATATGTGGTATGGTACGAAACTCTTTATCTCTTGAGAGCGCCGAAAACTGTGCATTTTTTATAATATTTTCAAACCTTGCCACTACGGTGAAATTATAGTTGGGTATAATTGAATAAAAGTTTCGAGTGTTTTGTTTGCTCTTATAATTAATCATTAAATTTAGTATTCACACTCTTAAAACCCAATTTTAATAAAAATAATGAAAATTCTACCCGACTAGCTAATCCTTAGCTTCATAGTTATTTTTTAATCCTCTATTTATGTAACATATCTAAATTGATTAAAAGTTAAGCCTCGCTAGAAATGTTAATGTTTACTGTCTAAGCAATATTTTTGTGTGTTAGTATATATTTTTCACAGCCATTTACTATTTAATTAAAAAAAAAATTGCCTCTTAAATTTTGCATTGAGTACTCAACCTAATATATTTTGAAAGAATTTGAACCATTTGTGGGCTGAGGTTCTTGTTCTTTCGCCAGCAAAACTAATTTGCACACTTCAGTTGTGACTAGGTATGATTAAAGCAAACTTCTGCTGAAAATTAAAAATAAAAAACCCACTCACATCAAAATTGGTTTTTAGCGGATTGTGTATGGCAGCTCACATTTATTACTCACAGCTGACTGTTGGGCCTCGATCTTGTAGTTAGAGCTGGCAACAAAGCCTAATCGAAGCCCAGAGATAATAGATAAGTAACTAAGTTTCATATCATATTATCTTTGACTATTAGTGAAATAAGAACCCTATGTCAGCCTGTTGATATTGTTTGATTTGAATTTCCCATGATATGGCAACGGAAGGTCTCTCACATTCTAATATTGGTAGCAATTTCAATAGCGGATGTGCCAAATACGCTCGGGGCCCTTTTCAGAAATCTTATATATAAAAATCTTATGTCCGCATGGAAAAATCCTGTAAATTTGAAAAATCTCCAAAAGTTACCAACCGAATGACTTGAAGTTTCGTCAGATTGTTTATATGATTCCTGGGATGGTTTTTCCAGTAAAAATATCGGGGAAAACTTACTCGTAGGTGTCTCTTTGCTTAGATTAACAGGAGGACTGCACTTCGCTTCGGAAAGTGGGCCGGGTGCTTGCCTATTCAAAGAGAAGTGGGCAAATATCAATGGGAAAACAAAAAATTTATGATAAAAAGATATTACATTATTAACTTTTCATAGATTTCATGAACATGTGCGACAGCGAAGCGTTGAAGGGTACAGCGCTAGTCTTATAAAAATATTCGGACTTTTAAGCACTCTCATGAAATGAAGAGTTTCGTATCTAGTTATCCTTGCTATCATTCTCCAGAATTTTTAAGGAAGAGACTCTCGGTTTTTAGATAAGACGGCGATGGCGTGACAGACAGGGAACCGAATCCCACTTCGCTTTAAATTTTACACTCCTTTTCGTTTTTATCTCCACAAGTTTTAAATGCGTGCAGTTGTGTGTGAAAGAGATTGAAAAGAAATGAATTCACACGCTAAAAATTCAAAATGTGGGCTATGTATTTTAATACGCAGTTGTAATTTTTTTAATATCCTTGCAATTTTTTTTTATTTTTGAACAAATATAACAAATATTTCGGTTATAAAATATGAAAACGAGCGTATGACGAGGTGTTGCGAAAGTGAAACTAGGAAGAAGTACCATCTTCGGGCATGCCGAAGGATTTATACCTGTCATGAGCATATCAAATTTATTGTTTAGCATCCCTGACGATCGTGTCTACGTGTGTAGAATACCGAATTCCTCGCTCGTAAATGCTTTCCCACTTCATTTTTAATTCAAATTCTCACATCATAAAAATGATATAGGCTTCCGATTTTTAGGATTATCCAACCGGATCAGTTCCGACAAATGCTCAATACTGTAAAAAAAATTTAAAATCTCAAAATACGACTAGTTTGTCGCATAGAAAGGCAGATGCACATGTCTAAACCAATACAGAACAGCTCGTCCTTCTGATCCGATCGGTACAAATTCGTGGCTCTATGCCTTTCTTCCCCTTCTGACAATTTTAGACATTTAATTTTCATAAACATACATACATACTATATAATTATTGAAAATTTTTAATATAAGCATAATAAAATCGTTTCTCTTGTATTTCTTGCAGCGATGATTAAACCATTGAAACTGATGCCAACTGACTTGTCGCTTGGAAAATATTAATAATTATTGGAAATTTAATGGAGAATTTGGGACATAAGGAATTATTACAAAAATTAAGAAAGAAATTAAGGACAATTAATACGCGGTTATCAGGAAGTTAATTAACTTTCTTGTACTTACATACATACATATGTAAAAAAAAAAATATGTATAAGTAGCTTTATATGAATTCGATTAAAATGTACTGGAACTTGTTAAAGGAAATATGGAAAAGTCAACATACATAGATCTCAAACATCAAACAAATTACATATAGTATGCACAAATATATTACTAAAATAAAAATATTGTATGTAATAGAATACTACCCAAAAACTACACTACATACATACTAATGCACATACATAAATATGTAATGGGGAAAACGATTTGCATTTTTTCACCAGCTGTAATTTATTCTACTACCACCAATTGGTGGGAATTTGTGAATATACATACAAACATACATATTTATTAAAATCGAATTCTTAGCAAAACTTAATATTAAATGCATCAAATTTTAAAAGAAATAAATAAAAATAAGTATGTTAATAGAATCGTTATTAATTTATATTCTCAACTAAAACATAAATTCTTCAAAAAATCTGTATATAAATATTTGTATATATGCATATATCGTATATACATAAATGTAAAAAACGCTAATATGAGTACTTACTTAATTTCAAAACTAGTTATTTATTCTAGTTGATAATTTTAGCTGTGAAATATGATACATTCTATTGAAATAAAGTGGATAGCAAATACACATTCAATTTTTGTTAAAAAAAATATTATTTTACAGTAAGTACAAAGGCAAAATAAACGAAAATAAGAGTATTAATTTCTCATTGTAAGGCAAGTCATATCTCGTTTTGTAATGGACTAGTGTTCAGTTTACTCGAATGACAAAAAAAACCTGTACTCATTGACGTCCCTATAGTTGTGAACAATATCAAGTTGAGATTAAATCTTTTCATCTCACCTGGATGGACATGTCGGAGTGCGGCTCGGAGTGCGGCTCCATATCAATTTAGTTATTTTCATGAAAAATCTTTGACAACGAAGTTTTATCTTAGAGTGCAGAGTCGCCATAGTGATAACTATTTAGGACAAGAGTCTTTGACTGTGCTCCGAAAGCATTCAAATACCTAGTCAAGCTTAGCTGAAACAAAGTCGACACACCAAATGAGACTAATGGTCAACAGTTTTTTTTTTACATCCAAGAAAAGCATTGCTTGATTTGCTAATGAATTACTGCTTTAGTCCATCAACAGTAAGGGACGACAGATTTAACGATAATATTCAAAAGACCGGCAGATTCCTTCTTTGAAGGAGTGTTCGGCTCGCTTGGCAGGATAAATGGTTCGCTAGATCATTCGGGTTATTTTGCAGTTTCGACAGGATTTTTTGCCACTTTTGTGATTCACAAACCTGAATTTTTACCTGACAACCGATTTAGAGTGGCAATTTTGTGTTTAAGATGCTGTATTTTAATTGGAATGTGCCTCTTTTAGGTTAGTTGCTTATGTTAGTTGAAGGTATTAAACTTCGCTTGCTTGAGGAATCGAGAATCGCTGTGTTTTTATATTAAAGTAAAAATTCGTTCAGTTTTTTATTGATTTTTCAAAATATGATAACTTTGTGTACATTTGTTCTTAAACTTGTTGCCACCTAGATGTCAACTTCATTATACTCCTCTCGTGGAAGGCTGCGTCCCTATTGGCAAAAAACTCGGATAGCCAAGTTTCACAAGACTCTCTTGAGGCCAACTTCTCACCACTAAGCGCGTTTGCCATGGACAAGAAAAGATGGTAATCACTTGGTGCTAGATCCGGACTATAAGGTGGGTGAATTAAGACCTCCCTTCCGAGGTCCTGGAGCTTCTGGCGCGTCACCAAAGATGGATGTGGCCTGGCGCTGTCCTGATGGAACACAATTCGGCCTCTGTTGATCTAAGATGATCTCTTCTGGATGAGTGCTGCCTTCAAGCGGTCCATTTGTTGGCAGTAGAGGGCCGAATTGAGCGTTTGGCCATAGGGGAGCAGCTCCTAGTAGATGATTCCTTGCCAATCCCACCAAACACACAGCAAAACCTTCCTGACCGTCAATCCGATCTTGGCCACCGTCTGGGCCGCTTCCCCGAGCTTTGACCACGACCTTTAGTGCTCGATGTTGTCGAAGTGACCCATTTTTCATCACCAGTCACAATCCGCTTCAGAAACGGGTCTCTTTTGTTACGATTCAGCAGTGATTCGTAGATGGAAATTCGGTCCATCATTTTTTTTTTGCATTAGTTCGTGTGGCATCCAAACATCGATCTTCTTTTTGAATCCAAGGTTATGCAAATGGTTCCAAACGGTTTTCTGGCTTATCTTTAGTTCCTCAGCAATTAAATATGTGCTCACTTGACGGTCTGCTTCCACTATTTCCATGATTTTATCGCAGTTTTCGACTACAGGCCTCCCGACCAGAACGGAACCTTCCAAACCACTTTTATGCTACACGTTTGTTTAAAGTATCGGGCCCATAAACTGAATAAATTTTTTCAGCTGCTTTGGCTGCTTTTTCGCCTTGATCGAAGAAAAATTGTAAAACTTAGCGAATTTTCTCTTTGCTGGTGTCCATCTTTGACGAGCGCTCTCAACGTACTGAGTGAATCAATCGAGCCGCACCGTATAGTATGAGATGATGCGACACGTAACACTAGTACTATGGACAAAAACTCCATATCTTAGATAAAAACCGAGCGAACTTTTTACTTGACCTAATATATTAACAATTGTTTTTATTTATTGGAAACGCTTCGACATTTTAAGCTAACCATAAAGAATAATAGGAGGAATTGGCTACTGGCTTGAGGTTGCTTTTCAGGAAGCTGGTTTCACATGTTGCGTAGGCCAAGATGTTCGGATGGTGACGAAGTTTTATCAAGAATTTTTCTGCTGCGATCTCTATATATATTTTCATTATTCATGCACCGCTATTACTCTAGGAATTTGATCACTTTCATGGGGAAAAGAAATAATTTTTAAATTATTTTAATTTTAATTTTTTGTATTTTGTTGAATAGGTAAGGCAATAGGCTGATTGATCTATATGATGACGCATGGTTGTGTCTTTACCTGGTTAAGCTATCTTAATTATCTGCGGCTATATTTTGGCTTTGATATGAAGGATTTGCAAGAAAAACGAGTGTGATACGATTGTATCCAGGAAATTGTTATTGGTCGAAGACAGCAATAGTATTTTTCAGATCAGACGATTCGCAAGTAACAGTATAACTTAGCAGTATGGTCCGGTGACAAAGATCAGTGAAGTATCAGTATTTAGTTGAAAACCCGTACTGTGGTGCTCTGCAAAACGTGGTCGCCTTTTCTTCATCCGTTCTAACCCATAAACCGTCGCACGGATAGCAGATACAAAGAAGATAAACAATTTTTCATAGTTTTTTCAAACGTTAGAAAACAAAGATAGTCATAGTTTTCTCTTCGTTGCGTCTTAATCCCACTTTTAGCTTTTTTTCTTCCATCTCCGAAAGTATTTTTGACATGAAAATCAAAAGCTCCTCATAAAAAACCATCAGCCGTTCGAAGGCGGCTTAGTATAAACTGTAGACCTCTGTATTTGTTTGGAAAAACATCAAGATGCAAAACCTCAATTTGGAGGAGAAACTCGGCCGAAAACCGCTTAAGCGGTTACAAAGCGCCAATTGTATATATGTATACATATATAACAGATGTGGTCGTTAAAGCGTCAAATGTCAGTTAGTTGTATTTAGGTCATGTTTGCTTCTGAATTCATTAAAACTACTATTGGAATATGTAGAAGATTGCCGCAGATCACTTAACGTGATGGCCAAGCAGTTCTCTCTGAACCTGGTGTGGGTATCTGGACACCGTAACATACCTGCTAATAAGATGGCGGATGAGCTTGCAAGGGAGGACACTTCCCTCCCACTTTCACCATCATGGAAGAGTTTGGGCATGCCGCTCTCCACTTATAAGCTCAGTATAAGAGAGTTATTTACTGAAGATGTTAACTTAAGATGGAGAGGTCTCATTTCATGTGGTGGAACCAAGACAATATGGCCGGAATAGAACGGAAGAAAGAAAGGAGATATCTACAGTTAGAGGTCTTCTTACAAGGCATATTCTATGGGGCAGGCACGCTGAGAGTTTAGGAGTAAAATCTACTCCATTCACTGGTCCGACTAGCGGGTGGGGCCACTTCGTCCAACCAAACAACCATTATTAAATTCCATGGTTTGTATATAAGGTTATTTTAATTTTATCATAAATAGATAAAGGCATTTCTTTCCGTTTTGTCAGCGACATAGACCACCCGCTTAGTCGTCGTTTTTGCAAGGAGTAATTGTGCATTGATATTTAATTTTGATACTTCATCTTCACTTTTGGCATTCTCATTAGCGATTTTAGGTTAGGACATCTATAAATTAGAACTAACTCCCTCTTTTAAGGACATTTTCTGACGATGTAAAAATATTATTGACTTAATCGCAGTTTGCTATCGACGTATATTATAATGTAGAGCTTTTAAACCCGTAAGTTTGGAAATTTCCGGAGGTAAAAATTCGTGTAATGTTTTCCGCTGCCCACTCCGTTCAGTGAATATTTACCATTTTATTCTCAAAATATAATGTATTTGTCAAATTTTTCTTCAATTTGCTTATTCCTCTTCGTCAGTTTATCCTCCTTTCTTTCACACTTTTATCTTTCATATCTAACTTCATCATATAACGCGCTGTCAAAATTGAAAATTCCATTCGTTCAACCATGAAGATTTTTGACAGTTGTTTAGCGCTCAATGCTCCAATTTTGGGATAGCAGTTAGAATATAGTAAAAGTTTTGTTTCTGAGTTATAGTCAATAGTTCTGTTCGTTGATCAGATGGGCAATAACAATTTCAACCAGTAAAAATTAGCAAGTAGGAACAACATTTGATTTGGGAATAAATTTTGAAATACAAAAAAAATCATAATTTTGATAAATTAAATGTAAATGATACCATATCAACGATTCACTTAAATATTTCATGTTTATGGCAATGGCCTAAGTACATACACGTATGTATGTGTCATTGTTCACAGTTTACAGTTCACAGTTTGATAGCCACTAATACTAAAGTTCATAACCGTTGACTATTTGTTCAATTGCATGAAGAAGACGTCCAGCCACCCAGTATCGAGCATTACTTTAAAGTTCAGAGATAAATCCTACAATTGAATTCCGTAACATATTTTGTTTCGCACAGATATGCACTTGTATGTATATAAACAT